CCACGTCAGGTGAGGAGTTCATTGATAGGTAACTCAATGTGCTATTACTGGACTTGGCCCTGTTAACAGCAGCCAAAAGCCTCTGGACCGACTGTCTTACTAGTGTGTTATGGTTCAGGAGATGTTTCCTGTTTGTTGCCTCTTCCCATATCTCGAGTTTTACTATCATGATCATTGATCTCATAGAACTATATATTTGCTCAATCATTTCAAGTCACCTAATCATGATTAATTTTATCAGAAGCTCAGTCACACATTTGGTAGTGCAAGAAACAATAATCTTGTAAAATAGGCAGAATACAAGCAATATAGCAAGTAACATTAATAAGGACATAAATAAGAATTTAAGCTAAGAATTCCATTAGGTGAGGCCCAGTATCTCCCCAGGTCATCTGACCCAGTCTGTTCTGCATCAGTCACTAACTTTAAGGGAAATGATATATTGGCATTGTATATAAAATTCACCAAAGACATGCATGTTTGAGGCAACTAGTGGGTCATCGTAACCCCTCACAGGATTGAGAAAGGAAGGTTACCTTTTAAAGAGTGACATGGCTGGTGCCAGAAGAAGAAAAATTGATCTTTATGCTTGAGCAGGTATCTCTGCCATTGGGAAGGTCTGGTTTATCATAATGCAGATGCACAGTGCATACCAGAAGGGAGGGAGGAGGTCCAAATGGGCAGAGAAAAGAATTTCATGTTTAAATTTTTCTTGTCTTTCCTTAAAGTATGATTTTTATTTCATCAGATATATTTAGTGGAGAGCAGGAAATTTAAAATCTATTCCTAAAAAATCTATCATTTTGACAGTGATTATATTCATTATGTGATTGAAGCTCAGAAAACAGAACTGACGACCTGCACTGAGAGAGAATGATCCAGGGTGGCTTTTATGCTAAGGCTTGAAGAGTGAAAAGGCGGCCTGAAAATATTGGTAGGCTGCAGTAAGAAGAAATTGAGAGGGGTCAATGCTGATGGTTTCTATTTTTTATGTGAAAGAAGAGGCAAGGTCATCTCTTGAATATGAATTTTTCAGGGTAAGAGGGAAGGCTTAGAGAGAATGAAAAATTTTGGCAGCATTTCCATAGGAAATGAGTAAGACAAGCAAGAACAAGTAGATGAGCCAGGTCAAAAAAAGACCTGAGCTTGCAATCCTGCCATCAACACAGTGATGAGATTTTTCTCTGCTGACTCAGATACAGAGAAAACAGATAATGAACTGATCCAGGATTGAAGATGGATGAGACAGGTGTGGGAGAAGGACAAGAGAATATGGAAGGACTCTGGTGTGAGAGATGTAAAAGCGATGGACCCTGCAATCCTGGACAGGAATTCAGAAGAAATGGGAGACAATGAGAAGTGAGCAGTGTGGAGAGGACCCAGAATGGGAGTAAGGGTGGTGAAGTTAGACAAGTAGAAGACAATTTGATTCGTGGTTTGAAGTCAAAGATTTCAAACACAGGACGATTCTGGATAAAGGTACAATCCAAGGAATGACGGACCGTGGGGTTCTGCTTCTACTGTTGGTTGTTAGAAATGTATTGCCACTGTTTTATTTGGGGGTATTACTATGTGACTGATAATGTAAATTGGATAAGTCCACTTAGAACACTGACGCATGGTTAGAGTGACCATATTTTTTAAACTAAAAACCATATCTTTTAAACTAAAAACAAATGGTTTAACAATGTCCCCTACTTTTTGGTAATTTGTTAATAATATATTTACATGAAAAGACAACACAGTATACAACATACACAGTATTTGGGTACCACGTTAGAAAACCCAGGAATCACAGTTTATGTAGACACTACAGACGTAACTTTTATTTTTTTAAAAAAACTTATTGGGCTTCCCTTGTGGTGCAGTGGTTGAGAGTCCGCCTGCCGATGCAGGGGACACGGGTTCATGTCCCGGTCCGGCAAGATCCCACATGCCGCAGAGCGGCTGGGCCCGTGAGCCATGGCCGCTGAGCTTGCGCATCCGGAGCCTGTGCTCTGCAACGGGAGAGGCCACAACAGTGAGAGGCCCGTGTACCGAAAAAAAAAAAAAATTATTGAATTATTTACTTACTTATTTTTGGCTGTGTTGGGTCTTAGTTGCTGTGCGTGGGCTTTACTCTAGCTGTGGCGAGTGGGGGCTAATCTTTGCTGCGGTGCGTGTGCTTCTCATTGTGGTGGCTTCTCTTGCTGTGGAACACGGGCTCTAGGTGCACGGACTTCAGTAGTTGTGGCACATGGGCTCAGTAGTTGTGGCTCGCGGGCTCTGGAGCGCAGGCTCAGTAGTTGTGGCGCACGGGCTTAGTTGCTCCGTGGCATGTGAGATCTTCCCGGACCAGGGCTCAAACCCATGTCCCCTCCATTGGCAGGTGGATTCTTCACCACTGTGCCACAAGGGAAGCCCTACAGATGTAACTTTTAAAATGACAAATGACGATGCAAGAAAATTAAATACTTCCAAACATGTTTAAAATGCAAAAATTTTGAGTTAAACTGTAAAAACTTCTTGAGAGAAGAGACCCTTTATTAACTCAGTGTATTCCAATACTTCTTTTGAAACCTTGTTCCCCTCAAGCTCTACCACTGTGTAGAACTGTGCAGGTCAATAGTAAGAGATAAATAATACTTCTTGTTTATAGGTGTATTCTTTCTTGTTCTATGTCCAAAGAACAAGACTACTTCCCTGCTCAAATTCCAAATTCCTTAGGAAAACAGAAGCTGCAACAAAACCACACCAGTAATTTCCACTCACATGTCAGTTTAAAAACAACTTGGGAAAGGTCAGCCTATTCGACTTCCTTCTATTGTTGAGTTTACCCAGTTCCTGATTATATTACAGTGTGGTGGTGATTTTTAAAGGTGATTCCTTTACCTGTTTCAGTTTTCTGAGCAACATAAATTAGCCAGGAACATTCTTTTCATCCCGAATACTACACGTCTTGGGAAGAGATTCGCTGTGATAAAAGCCATTATCTCCAGTGGCCTTTGCAAGAACATCTATGACACTTGAGTGGAAACCCATTCAAGAGCTGAGGTGCAAGGGGGTCCAGGAAAGGTCACCAGTGACACAAAGAGGCCACTAGTGTGCACTGTATCTCAATTCAAAGGCCAAGGACGCTCCTGGGCAGTTTAAGCACTAACATTTACACTTATTGCAAATATGGTTTTAGCCTTCAAACTGCGGTTTCAGTTTGTTTAGACTTCTATCGCTTTGAAGTTATTAGCTTTGCCCAATTATCTGAAAATACACATTTATACCATGTAGTGGTTGAGTGAGAATGACATGTAGAAAATTGTTTCTAAGGAAGTCTTTTAGCCTATCTTTTGAAAAATTCAGAATACTGTATTATTTTTATATTTGTAATTTTATCGATTTTTGTTTTACTTTTCAACTACCAATTCTAGTCTAACATTTTCTACGCAATCTCTATGTTTTTAGTTCCTTTTAAAATGCTGCACAGACATCTCAGAGTTAAAGTGAAATTCAAAGTATTCAACATGAAAAAGGAATATCAAGGGCACCGTTTGCAAAACAGACAATCAAACAAAAAAACAGGGTGGGAGCAGTCTGGGAGGAGCTGGTGCCAGGCTAGGAACGTTTAGAGCATCATTTCTTTCTCTGATGATGAGTGTGTTAACAAGCCTGCTTTTAGACTTGCAATAACACTGCTTACCAGGAGAATGTTCTGAAGGCAATTAAGTTACATGCATCATCAGTGTTTAGAAATTTGGCTACCAAACAAGTAAGCTCAAATTGGGGATAGGAGTGGGGACCAGTGGGTAAGAGCACATGTTCTGCTCTGTTGAATTCTAATGGCATGACCTTGGGTAACCTACTAACCTCTCCGGGCCTCAGGTTCCTCACCTGTAAAATGAGAATAATGGAATTACCTCTTAGGGTTGTTGTGAGGATTAAATGAGGTAATAAAATATGTAAAAGTACAATATTACAACCAGTGCCTGGTACAGAGCAAGTGCTCAGATATCATGGGGAATTCTCTACCCAGTTTTAAAGTCAGGTTTGGTTTCTAGGCAAGCCCTTAAAATGGCGGAAGTTTTAAAAAAATGTCCTTTTCTAGAGGTGAAAAAAATAAGAAGACCAAAGAGTCTTGAATACTATGAAAGGATGGTGAAAAAGCAGAGTGATAATTAAGCATTTTGTTTATAACAATAAGGAAACAGGTTTAATTTATAGCAGGAGTGGCTAGGCTTCCAGTTTGTAGACTTCCTGCCACATTGCACTGTAAGATACTGCTGAGCTGGAAATTACAAAGCAAAGCTACTTGATTTTAGTCATCATGGTATTAATAAACTTTGAAGCTTCCCTGCATCCTTTTGATTGGATGTAGAGTACAGTGATTTAACATAAACATACTACTACCTACAGGAAAAGAGCTGGATTCTAACACTGTTAGGACCATTTAACGGGGAGAATCATTTCATCAAGGGAGTTTTGTTAGCAATTCAGTAACTAAACTCCCTTGGTTGGGTTCCAAGACCAATGATAAGGATAGGGAGGTTGGCTTTAGAGCACAGTGTTCATGGTGATGTTTAAGGCCTAGGAATATTCCATTTGAATTACAGTGGAAAGCAACAGTATTTGACATCTAATAATCCACTTAATTTGTTAGCAATCTCAGTTTAAATCATTGTATAGATGATCTCTGTGGCATGCTATTTTTATTACAGAATTTTGGTTTTTGTGGAGTTTGTAAAGTTTTAAGACATTAATTTTTTTTAATATTTACTATTTCATTTTTTTACACAAAATATTACAAAATTTAAAACTATTTTCTAAACCAAATTTAGTCCAGAACATATGTTTAAAAGCACTGGTAAAAAATGATATTTTAAAAAGCAAACATGGGGCTTCCCTGGTGGCACAGTGGTTGAGAGTCCACCTGCCGATTCAGGAGACACAGGTTCGTGCCCCAGTCCGGGAGGATCCCACATGCCACGGAGCGGCTGGGCCCGTGAGCCATCGCCGCTGAGCCTGTACGTCCGGAGCCTGTGCTCCGCAACAGGAGAGGCCACAACAGTGAGAGGCCCGCGTACCGAAAAAAGAAAGCAAACATGAAGAAAATCTAGAGAAAAGCTGGAATACCACATTGTCATAATGATTAAGTTTTAGCTCAAAGTGATTTTAAAGACCAGTTTATTTGCTCACCCCTCCTCCTGTTATAGACAGACTGTCTTGCTGCTCAGTCATGATGTGAATGGTCTCCTTGAATTGTATGATGCAGACCTGTATGGCCAGAGTGGTACCCTGGTAACAGATAAGAAAATAGAAGTGAAAGTACCTGCCCAGGTTCTTGAGAAGCTTGGTTTCTTATTGGCTTCTAGGGCTCTTTCCAAACTCTATAGTATTGAAATAAAATTTGACCTGCTAATTCACATAATATATCAGGACACATTGTTCAGTTAAAATCAGTAGAGATAACAAACCTGATCAAAATCTTTACAAACTCATGCTTCACAGGGGACTGAATTTTTTGGAAACAATTGAAAAATGTACCCACAAGAAGAAGATTGAACAGAGTAGAGAAAATAGTGTATAACTGTTTGGATAGCAGCAGTGTCAAACCTATTTAAAAAAATTAGCAGTCCCCTCTGGGTAGAAGGTGGGCAGGGAATCACATGGCAGAAGCCCAGGCCTGGACCCCTTTGGCAGCACAAAGCTCCAATCAACCGCCAGGTGCCGTGGTGTATCGTGATGCTCTACATGGTTTTCCATCTCACCATTTTAATTTTATGGGGTCATGGTTCAGGTGGTCTCACAGAAGCAGGGATTCTTCGGAGATCCTATAAAATATAGAAAAGAGAAGTCACTCAGGGAGAGCTGCAGGAATTGGGGGGAATTGGGAGAGTGTGTAGCCCAAGCAAGAATAAGATAAGGCGATCACTTTTGCATTGGGGGAAATGTATCTAACTCAGATGTTATGTCACTCACATCCTCTGGATATCAAAAGAGATAGAAGCACATGTGAATAGACACTTTCAGCTTAATTTTTTTCTATCCTGGTAAATGATTCAAACCACAGTCATTGTGATTCAACCTTCTTATATTTGCCCTTGAAGGACAGGAAGTGTCACTTACTTCTGTGGTATTCCTCACAACATAGAGCGTATGACAGGGGTAAGACAGAGTTTTATTAAATTTGTCCTGGATTACTAAGGGAAGGGAAGGGAAAGGAGAAGAAGATCCCTAGTTTTCTAGGTTGTTATTCATTCTTGCCCATATGCCATGTATGTGCCTTCTGATTTGTCAAAGCTTGTTAACTGGGTGTGAGCCTATATTTTCATTCAGTCCACAAAGACTCACTCTAAATCACAACGTATGCCAGTAGAAAAAAAAACAAAACCAAAAAAACCCAAAACAAAACAAGCCCCCAGGCTGGCTGGCATTGAAAGTGCTGGCAGACAGAAGCAGTAATCTGTTGGTAATTTTATAAGGTTTCTGTGCTGATTGCCATTTGGGCGGTGTCCACAGTCACTGATGAGGCATTCACATACTCACAGCTGCCCTGGGCGCAAGACAACATCTGCACAAAAACAGACAAGGATTATTCTGACAATTAAAAGAGTTGTTTACTGCTAATGCTATTGTCACGATCTACTACAAGAATTTCAATTAAATGAAAATCAAATGCGGCCCTCAGAGGCCATATGGCGCAGTGAGGGAAGGACCCCACTTCCACAGTCAAGAAGCCCCCATTCCTGCCCTGGCACTGCCAACGCCTCGCTATGAAAGAGAATGCTCAGCTGACACGTGCCCAGGCCTAAGCCAGGGTCTTTAGACTCAGAAAGAAAGGACCTGCTGCTTCAGGAATGCAAAGAAACTGAGAAAAATAAAGCCCATCTTAGATGGAGAAGAACAGACACACCAGATAGGACAGAAAGGAAGAACCAGGCTCAAAGAGAAAAATGGTGCCAAGTAAGGTAATAATAATTCTTATTATTTAGTGCCTACAGTATGCCAAGTACTTAAAAAAGATTCTTCATGTATTTATGGGAATGTGAAATGAGTTGACCACAATCCTTTCAAACTTCTTTCATGTACATCACTCAGCAGTTGTATTGCAATGCCAAGGGGCGAAGCACTTTTCAAATATTATTTCTAACTTATAAAACAAGCTTTAACCAGAAAGTATAAGTTGTGTTTGTTGAAGAAACTGACACTCAGAGGTTGAGTTACCTGGGGCCACACAGCTCGTGTGGCTCTTCCCTGTTATGAGAGATTTGGCCAAAGCTTTCAGATGACTCAAGCTGCCCAGGGTAAAGGGGGCCCAGGAAGTGGGGAGATTCCTAGTCTGAGATGTTCTCACTTGGTGGAAGACTGCCTCCTAGTCTTAAAAAAGCTCACAGTGAGAAGAGTGCTAAAAAAAGAAAGAAGAGAGGAGAAAAAGCAGGAATCTGAGAGAAGAAAGGTAACAAAGAAGGGGAAAGGTAGAAAGAAAAATATAAGAAAGTAAGAAATAAAGGGAAAAGCTAAGTCGGATCATCATAGTAAATGGGATCTAGATAAGGACTCTATTTTCTGCAAAGCCATAAAATGTCGATTCCCTATGTTTTGACACGGGGTACAGGGGCCTGTTTTCACCAGATGTGACAATTGCTTCAAAGAGAGCCTCCGACTGGGAGCAAGTGACTTTGACAAGTCAAGGAGAATCAAAATGGACACTCCACACTGCAGAAAACACATTTTTTTTTAAAGGCATAGATCTACTCTATACAGTTATTTTAACAAGTTCAGGCTAGCTTTGATCATACATTATTATAACCTTGACACTAGATGTATTATAAAATTTCATGTAAAACAAGTGTTTAATGGCAGGGGGGCCATGAAACAATTCTAGGATATTAAATTATTTTTAGAGAAGCAGGATGAGCACATGAGTGTATGATTATCTTCTATGTTTGCCATTAATAGTGTCAGATTCATCCGCCTACTCACAAAGACCTGCAAATGGGATAAGTGAATATGGAATAATACGCCACAATTATAATAATAACTAATATTTAGTAAACCCATTCTTTCTTAGCATAGCCTTCCCCAATCAATTTACTTAAAATTGTACCCCTAATATTCTCTCCTCTATCCCCATTATTTTTTTCAATAGCATTCTTGGACACTCTAAAATTTCACCTTATTTGTTATTTCCTGTCTCCCCTCAGAGAACGTAAAATTCCTGGGGCCAGGGTTGCTGTTTTGTTCACTGCTGTATCTCCAGTGCTGGGTTCATGGCCTGCACAAGATAGAGCCTGATTAGTATTAGTTGAATGGATGCATGAACAAACCGGTGTTATATTTCAAGAAGTATACTTTTGCTTTAAATTCATTATCTTGCTTGATTGTCGTATAATTCTAAGGTAGGAAATGAGTCTTCAGAGAGTTTGAGTTAGTTGCTCAAAGTCTCACAGGTAGGAATTATCAGGTCAGAGCTTGAGGAAGGCCTTCTGATTCTAAAATCCTTAAACAAATACACTATGGAATGATAGCTCGTGTGTGTGTGTGTGTGTGTGTGTGTGTGTGTGTGTGTGTGTGTGTG